ATGTCAGTGTAGCCCCAGGATGAGTGGAGTCATTGGGCTAGAAAGCACTAGGTGACTGGGAAGCTTTTACCTGGAAGTTTTGTCTTTCAACAAAAATAGGTTCAAAGCGGCATCCCAGACCTGAAACCGCATCCCAGGTCCATTTGACATCACCAGCTCCCTTTAGGGGAACAAGAGCAGATTTTGGAGGGTTGAGATCTAAAAGAAACTCAAGAGGGTTCAATTTTATTCTTCAAGTAGTTTTGTTATGGTTTATATGGCCGGTCATTTAAAGGAAAGGTTGCATGAGAAGAAACTTTGTTTTATGAGTCTGGGGTTGGACTAGATGATCTCCTGAGGTCACGTCCATCCTATTTTTCTATGACTCTATGATTTCAATGAATTGTGGAAATCAAAGAATAAAGTTCACACAGCCCCCAGAGAATTGCATGCAACACCGTGAGGTTATACATTGATCAAACAGCTGAGCGGCTCAAAAGAATAGTCTTGTGGTCATTATAATGGTTGGGATCACAGTGGTGTCCCAGGGTCCTCATCAGTGATCAGGACTATATTAGGTTGATAATTTTTTTTTTCACTAAATATTAATTAATCAGAAAGTGATTCACTGAGATCAAAATTTATCATGGGAAAGGGTCCATTTTTATAAACTTCTCAATGCAAAGAATGACCATATTTGTCATGATGGGGTGTCTGGATACTTTCTAAATTTTTTTTTTAAAAAGTGGTTTTCCTGCTTGAAACGGTTTTTGTTTGGAAGTATCAGTTAAGTTACTTTTTAAAAAGTTAAAAACTAGAAGCAAAACGCTTTGTTTCAATCATTTTTTTAACGCTTCCACCGGGCAGAAATTTTGGATGATCCGTTCGTACAAAATGTTGACTTTTTGTTCAGATTGGGGGGCGGGAGGATTTCCAAAAATTTCAAAATAATCCGCAGAATGGAAAATCCAGTTTTAATCAAGACTCAATCGCTCTAAAGTCTCTTGAAACACATCATGTAATGACAGTCCCTATCCTGGAGATCTCAGCAGCTCATGATAAACCAAGAGGAGAAAGGAAGACGGGGCTCATAGAGACATAAGCATAAGGTAACGTTGAGATCATGCTGATCGTCGCAAGTGGTGATAGACAGAACAACCCAGCGCTGTAATCATTAGTAAATCCTTTTATGTATTCAAGTAAGTGAATGTCCTAAGGGAGGAAAGACAGTGAGGTAGCTTTCCAGGTGTAATAAAGAAAAAATATAAGTGAAGGATATTTTCACTAAAGCCAAAATCCCATACTCTGAACATTTCTCCTAAAAAACGATGGGACTTATAAGACTTTCACCCAAGATTCGTTCTTCCAAGGGCATGGCATTGGCAAGGGAGACGGCCGCGGGTCAAGTGGTCTGAGTACGAATCAAGACTTGGGCTTCAATTCCCTGCTCTGCCCCAGGCTTCTTGTATAACCCTGGGCAGCTCACAAGGCTGCAGCTCTTCACCTCTCAACTAGGGATAACAGCATTGCCCCGTTTCACAGAGAGCTGCCAGGATCAATGCACCGAGGGCTGGGACATGCACACATGCTGTGCTCAGGGGGCACATAAATACATAAAACAACAAAAGAAAGTCAAAGGTAAAAAAGAAAAACCAAATAAAGCTCACGTGCTGCTTGGTGGAAGAAACAAATGGGTTCTTGGGGGGGAGTGAGAGGGGGGTTGTGATCATAGAAAAAAATTTCCTTTGAAAACAACCTGTTTTTTGTATCATGGTACAATACAGAGATGGACCCAAATTTTCAGTGTTTAGGACAAAACATAACCAGGGTTTGGAGGTGCCCAGCACTAGGGTCCGTGTCAATCTACCAATGCTGGAACAGAAACAATACCAGCAACTACAGACGTGCCAAGTGCAGCCGGAGCCTTATTAAACAGCTGCCCAAAAAACTCGGTTTCAGGCTACCTACTCCCAGTTATGGAATAAACTGCAGAGCCTAAAGTTAATACACGCTTGATCGAGAAGATAGAGGTTAAAAAAAGACCCATTAGGGTCACTGAGTCCAACCTCTGCCTGTGAAGAATGGTTCCCTATGGGGTATTCATTCTGCACAGTCTAGTTTTAAAGGTTCCCAGGAGAGAGTTTTGCCACCATCTATTCCACAGCCTAATAGAGCTCCCCGTCAGGAAGTTTTTTGCTTTGCATTCAGCATACCTTGTTTTCTTTTTTTGTCCGTTTCTTAATTTCATTTATAGATTTCAAGGGCAGCGAGACTAGGACTGATCACCTGCGAAGCACACACCAGAGAACTTCCCCCAATAAAGGCACGAGTTGAACTCATAACGACTGCTACTCGGGTTCAGTGGACACAGTATGTTGCCTTGAACTGTGCACTTGCTCTCATTTCACTACCCCCATAATACGCCACTGCACACCCGGGCCACTTTAAATCAGGTTAACTCTTACCACGGTGTTTACACTCTTCAAAGAAGTGAGTTGCCCTTCCCCTCCCTCCCCAACAGCTGTTCAGTCAAACTCAGCATTTTTCTCTCTTTTATTCTTCACTCTAAATCTAAATCCTTGCGGTGGTTGCATTGCTGCTCTGCGAATATGCTCCACTTCCAGCAGGATGATCCAAAATTTGGACACAAATATCCCACGTGCAGTCACCAAGCAAGGAGTGTGTGTGTGCGCGTGTGTGTGTACAACCTGAATTACACTGGTCTTTCTTGCCACCATATTATTCTCCAAACTCATCTGTTTGTTAAGACCTCATCCTACTATATATTATTCTCCAAACTCATCTGTTTGTTAAGATCTCATCCTACTATATCAGCTCATGTAAAACCCACAGCCACAAATAATGGCATTTTGCAATACGCTTGCCTTACAAACCCTATGCCAGCTGCAAAATGTATCTCAGAAGTCACTAGCTCACATGCCTAGTACTTCATGCTCACAGTCATGACTTGATCCCATTTCTAGGCTGTCCCCAACCTCAGTGGCAGGGTTTTCACATTTACCCTGAGCCGAAGAGAATCTACCAGTGGACTTTGCACTAATCAGCAGATTAATTACAGATAAAATAGCAAATGAAAGAACAAGTGAATACTAGTGCTTTAAGAACACTGCTAGCTATTTTTCACTGAAAGTGGTTTTTAAAGATTTTGGAGGCAGTTAGCTTGTGGGAATTATGTTTGTTAATGTCCACCCCCTCCCTCCCTACAAGCACACACACACACACACACACCCCCCACCAAAAAATAAAAACTGGGGAGCAGGGAGTGCAAAAAACCCCAAATCAAGACCTGTTTCTTTTAGAAAGTTTCACAACCAATATTTAATAACAATGGCTAAGCTTTTTGTTTTCTGATTTCTCATTTTCAAAAACGTAGATTTTGACCAAAAGGACCATTTTTAAGTATTTCATTTTGATTGTATAAAATGGATCTGAATTTCTATAGGGGGAAAAATAAATCCCGCAACTGTAGAAAATCCATCCCCAACACCGATGCCAGCAGCGGTTTCTGTGGGTGCTCGCCAGCCCCGTCCCCGCTGTCGACACCGACTCGGGAGGCACCAGTTGCCCGTGGGCATGAGGACATATCCAGAGAGTTTACAAAATCATCTGAACAGGGGGACCAGCAAATACAAATGTAATCAAAGTGTGGTATCTTTGTGAGTATATGTGTAGGCACGTGTGTCCATACACACACAGCAGATGGGTGTGCATCGCAGGCGATTTACTTTACTTCCCTTTATGTGTAAGTGTCCCCTTAACAAAAATCTTCTTGCCTGCTAAAGCTGAATGAGTTTATTATATAAAATATCATTCTCCTCGAAGCAAAACCAATCATCACTTGGACAAGTTGATTTTGCACTTGAACTACTCTATTTTGAGGGCAATTTCGAAAAGGGGCAGTGTGGGTATGGGTGTGCATTAGCCTTCTCAGCAGGCTATGCTGGGAAACAGAGTGCCTGTCTCAATTCAGCAAGAGCCGAGCACCGAAGGAGAGCATTTCTTTAGTGGTTTAGTGCAACCTGCCTAACGCAATTCCCTGAAGGAAACCACTGTGAAACCTTTTGAGACGATCGCTTGCTGACATCTAGTGTTAGTTTCTAGCATCGCCAGCTAAAAAATAGTCTCTCTATCCCACCCACTCTCCAATGAGGAGTCTTCACCCTCTCCCACACCCCACTATTCAAGCAATGAGTCTTTTTTAACCTGTCCTTGAGTGGCAGAGCATTGGCAGTGCCTTTGTACCTACCGATGGCATGTCTAGGGCAGGAGTGGCCAACCTGTGGTGTAAGTCCCACAAGTGGCACAGGAAGCCTCTATGTGTGCTAATGGTGGTACCTAGGGCAGGAAGCAGAAAGCACAGCAGCAGCTTGGGCAGAGACACAGAAAGCAGCAAAGCAGATTGGGCAGGGGAAGGGTACTGGAGTGGCACTTGGGGAGGATGTGGGGCTCATTTGCGGTACCACTGCCAAAATATTTGGCCCCCGCTGTCATAGGGCATTGTTGGCATTTTGGATCTGGTGTCTTGTCGTTGTGGGTGAGGGTTTCAAGCGGTGATTTTGCAGGGTCTTGTGGCTGAGGAATGTCTCTGAACACAGGGGACCGGACTTGATGGCCTAGGAGGCCCCCTCCAGCCCGGTGTGTTTAGAGGACAGCTCCCAGATCAGCAAATGAGCAATTCCTAAAGTATTTTAGGTTTCCTCCCTGCAAGTGCTCTACCCCTATTTAACACACGCATTTTTTCCATGTCCATTTTCCAAGAGTCCCTGGCTCCCCTGTGTCGGGGCAATGGAAATCTAGGGCATTCGATCCAAGGACAGATTTTGGGAGGGGTGTTTTTTGGTTACTGTGAGCACCCCTCTCCCGCCAGGTGTTTCTTTAACTGACCATCCAAGCGCGGGGCAAGGCAGCTCAAGTCAGTCGCCGTCGCCGGGCCCAGCGTTACACAGGGAGCACCACAGATGGCCACAGAAGTGCTTTCTGGAGAGAATCCGGTCCCATGCAGGCGAACAGCTCCTCCACCCAGGCAGCCTTGACAATGAACAGAGAAAGGTTGAGATGTTGCTTTGGGACAGGCTGATAATGAGACCAGCGTTGGTTTGCTTGAATAGTTTGAAATAGGAGGGGGGGGTTTGAAGGGCAGGTCAATGTGGTCACCTTATGCTTCCCTGGAAGCGGGTGGACCCATGGTTGTGTAATCCCACCCAGGATATGCCTTCAGTACAACCTACCTGGAAAACCCATTAGGCTGACTTCTCTTACCTTCATATACTAAATGGTTTTTATAATTGATTTCCTCTCTCCCCTGAGCTACAAATACAGGCCATTGAGGCCTCTGTCACTGCAGGATCTGGAGAAAGGAGTCCACATCCCCGTACTTACCAAAGTTGTGGTGTACAGATGTGACAGCAAGCCGAGAAATGAACGTCAGGTTTGAGGAAGCCCAGCCTCTCAGGAGATCATGGCCCACGATGTGATGCTCTCCCGCAGGAAGCTGGGGAGCCAAACACTGCAAAGTGGTACGATTGCCATTGACATTGGTGCATGGGGAATCGCCAACAGACACCCTCATGTTTTCCACTGCTGTAATGCGTGACACCTTCACAGTTAAAAGGAGACCCGCCACAGGCAGAAGGGAAAGGAAAACTGGGGTCAACTCTTCTCTGTAGCTTATTTCTCCCAGAGGATAGGACAGGCTGTTGACCTCTAGCCATAAAGCCTTGGTCCCATGGCCCGGAGGCACAGTACATTGGATCGCATTGTATGTGGCATGTGTAATGAGGCAGGGATGGTTCCCAATGATAACAGAGGTCTGGCTTCTTCCTTGAAATGCAGCACCTTCTATGGTGAGACGGCCTCCGCCATTGCCACCAAAATGTTGGGGGTAAAACCTGAGCACATAAGGAGCAATGCTGACAATGCGAGAGCCCCTCCTGAAGCAAGCTTGCCCACGCCGGCTGTTGGGCATGGAAAGAGTATGCTCCCCGGCATAAACACTGGCTGCCCGGCACCTGACGCTGGTCTCATTCCAGTAGGTTACATGACAAGGGGCCTGGTTACCCAAGCAGACCACAGGTTTATCTGTTGCCCAAACTAATCTCTGTCCACTGAGCATCACGTTGGTGAATGTCCCATTGATCTCCCAGGTCACCGCATCCACGCTCGGGGTCCACTCTTCCAGGAGGTGGAGGGTACAGTTTGTAAGGCAGATGCTGCTGATCCCATTTATGGTCACTGTGACGTTAAGAACCGGATATGCCTTAGGCAACCGCCAGGCACCCAGAGACTGATCCCTTGGAAGAAGAGTGCAGATGATCATGTTGTAAACAGAGCTCTTGATTTCACATGAGTAGTTACCCCCCAGGCTTACTTGAACTGAATTTCTCTGGGAGGTTAAAGCAAAGCCAGATATGGTGAGCACGAGCCCACCACAAGCCGATCCTTGTGAAGGAAATACAGTGCTTATCTGTGGGGTTACTCTAATGTCCTGCAGGCTTGCTGTCAGGTTGGCATAGCCCAGCTGCTTCTGAAGCACCCTGATGGGGTATATCCCCGGCTCCAGAGTATTCATTGGCAAGGAGCACTGAGAAAATGTGGTAGACTTGTTGGTATGTTGAGACTTGAGCTCACATGCTGAGTCTCCCAGCTTAACTAGTGAGTTGGTTACATTTAATCCATGTATACCCAGATGCAGGCTGCCATTCCTCATCTCCACTTCCACAGCAGAAACTCCCGGCGTTAAAGCCCTTTGGTAAGTAAAGGTAATGTCCCCGCTTTGCAAACTCAAGGAGGAGGTATGTGTAGTTGATCTACTGCCAATGAACACGAGCACCTGGGCAGAGATGTCCTGTGACTGTACATGAGACAAGCCAGCAGCAGGTGGAGTCCGGCACCAAATTGCCTCTTCCATCAAGTGGGTCACATCACAGGTTTGCCTGTCTATAGTGACTGACACTAAAGCTGGGTTTGGGGTGAAGCCTATTCCAGAGATGGTCAGCATTGTTCCCCCTAGGGGTAAAGATAAAAAGACATACAGTTAATGCCAAGGTATCTTAGGTGTCCATGGCTGCCATGAAGCATGCCTGGATCTATAGGAAATCACAGACCTTGTTAAAGCTGATGGTTTAAACAGCAGCAGTTAAGCTCCTTTATGATATCAGGTAGCAAGAATCAATGGAAGTCACCACTCAGGTTGAGGGCTGCTACTGGGCCAACCAGCAACTAACTTATATAGGCGGAGGGGTTTCCTGGAGAATGGATTGCAAATGCAAGGTCTTGGGCATTGATTGGGTGGGTGTGTCAAGCAGAAAATGACTGGAAAGCAGAGAGAAAGCCAACACAGAACTTAAAATATCAATGGCAGGCATGACCAGAGACGCTCAAGAAGGAAGTAGGGCTGGTTCTTCAAAATTAGTCATTTTTCCCTGTAATATTTTGCCCAATCCTTGCACTCCAGCTACATATTCCTGGGGCATGGATTTACCTCGGGCTCCCCCTGCCTCTAGGGCAGAGTGGCATGAAGTCACTCTCATGGGAGGTTATAATCTAATGTCACATGGAGAAATGCCACTTTGCAGCCCTTCTACAACCAAGGCCACACTTTCGTTGCCAAAATTAACTCCTGATGCTGTGAGGCCACCAGTTGGACATCTCTGCCTTAAGACATTTAGCAAGTAGGTCAACAAGGTCTTGATTTGGAAACTGCCCCATTACCATAACGTTAGTATGGAAGATATGACTGCTGATACTTTAACCAAAGTATTTGCCACGTGGGAGACCAGGGGTCAACTCCAAGACATGCATATCACCACGCCATCAAGGCACTGAACGTCTGGACTCGGTCTGGCCTTTGGATTCTGTCTCAATGGTCTAAATGGGGGGTGGAAGGTCTGGGCAGCCCCCACTCCTCCATATTCCTCCCTAGGCATACATGTGAAAGGTCCTGGTGACCTCTCATGCATACACCATGATCCAATAGGATCAATAGTTGCCCACCAAACTCCCCAGGAGTCCCATGTTCATACTTTAGTTGCTAGCACATGCTATGGCCCATGCTCCCATTTCATTACGCCTAGTGGCCCCCAGGATAGCTAGATTAACCCTGCATGGGTTTGCTAGCATGTGATCTACTTGCATCTTCATTTTGCTGTGCTGATTACTCAGTTTTCAAAGGATTCATTAGCAAGACATGCCCATATATTGTCAGTTGAGGGCAGCCTGCCATGAAACCAAGGAGCCATGTCCACATGGCTGGGATAAAACCAAGAAGACTACCAGTACCCTTATCTTGTAGATACAGGTGGACATTATAGAGAATGCAGTTTTCTTTCTATCCTGATCCAGTCAACCTCCACTTGACTCAAAGCAGTGCAGGCTATATAGCAGTTTGTAGAGACTGTGGGATCTACAAGGACTTGGCCATGGCCTATAGATTATTCACTGGTTACTCCTGAGCAATAGAAACCCTTCAAGTCTTCCTAGAAAGATCTGCTTATGATTTCAAACATATTTTGCCACAAGGTCAATAAATACCAGGTGCTTCTAGAAAAAAGAATATGGAAGTAGGAAGGTTTCGCCCAATTCCCTGCTTAGCAAGCTGCCTCTGGGGCATCTCCATCACCTTCACTCATGTATTTAATCTCTAGCTAGACTGCAAGTACCTTGAGGGAGGGGCTTTGAATCCACTTTTAACTGCAATTTGCCTGGAGAGCTGCCAGAGCTAAAAATAATCACATTTTTCTTGAACCTTGAATTTCTGCCCCCAAATATTTCTTCTGCAACTCATGGGGTTTTTGGGGTTTGTTTGGTTTTTTTGCATGACTCACTCTTCCAAACTGATTGACTTCATTATACGTCAGGTCTCAGAGCTGATTAATGAGATGTAATCAACCTGATCAATCATATTTTATAGAGTACCAAATATTAGCTGAGCACTCATCACAATGCCTCTGTATCATTATTCCCAGAAAAAGAGTAAGTGTTTTGGGTAAGGGCTTACAGGTGAAACCATGGCAGACCTAGGATGAGCTCACACTCATTTGGGGAAGGGAGTCCTGAGTTCTGGGTCCTGCTCCAGGCCACATCTGGAGTCCTGTGTCCAGGTTTGGGCCCCCCGCTACAGAGAGGATATGGAAAAATTGGAGAGAGTCCAGTGGTGGGCAACAAAAACAGTGAAGGGGCTAAGGGACATGACTTCTGAGGAAAGGCTGAGGGAACTGGGCTTTTGAGTGCCTGTAGACATGCAGGGACGCTGCTCCAATGCACTGTAATTACAGCGTGCCGGAGCCGACTCGATTAATCAAGTCTGCTGGAGCATGCTAATTAGCATATTGAATATTAGGGATGCAGCAACTGCTGCATCTCATGTATTCAATGTCCCCACGCTTCAATATGGTGGCGGGGGCGCTCTAACTAAAGCTTCTCAAACATGCTTTAGTTAAAGTGCCCCTGATGCCACTTTGAAGCATGGGGATGCTGACCCATGAGACACTGAGGGCACTTTCATTAGAGCGGTTCTCAGAACTGCTCTAATTAAAGCGCCTCCACCACCCCAGGGCACAGGTAAAGACACCCATTTAGTTTGGAGAAGAGAAGACTGACGGAGATTTAATAGCATCCTTTAACTCCCTGAAGGGTGGATCCAAAGAGGATGGAGCTGGGCTGTTCTCAGTGGTGGCAGATGACAGGACAAGGAGCAATGGGCTCAAGTTGCAGCAAGGGAAGTTGAGGTTAGATATTAGGAAGAATTTCCTCATGTGGAGGGTACTAAAGTACTGGAACAGGCTGACCAGCGAGCTTGTGCACTCTCCATCCTTGGAGCTTTTTAAGACCCTGCTAGACAAAGCTTTGGGGATGGTATAGTTGGAGACACTTTGAGCAGGGGTTTGGCCAGGATGACAGCCCGAGGTCCCTTCCAACCCTTCTTTTCTATGATTCCCTGGACTGCAGCTTGTCCAGGGGCTGTTTCTTGTGAAACGCCAAAACCAGCCAGAGAGCAGGGTCTGAAAGGTCTGCACCTTCCCAAATGAATGCCCTAATCCCTAGCCTATAGCATCACACTCTGTCTCGAGTCACATTAGGAGTCCAGGCACTTTTCACAGGGTTCTGGATTCCCTCCCCAGGGACTAAGTCTTTTATTGGGTCAGGTCCTTAAGTCTGACCCTGAAAGATTTGCACATGTGTTCAGCCCTTGGGACCCTTCAAGCATGCCCACACCACCTCCTCAGCCAAACTAAGCATGTCACTAAGACAAATGCATCCTCTCTCATGCACTAGGCAAGTCTGTGCCCACAAGTCTGCAGACCAGACAGCTTGGAGCAGCCCTGAGCAGTGCCAGGGTGTGAGCTCAAGCATTGTACTCCACAATTTGTATAGGCCCAGATGCTCACAAATGGACAGAGCTGGTATCTTGGTGGCATGCCTTGTCTTGCTGAGGAGGTAATGTCGACATCCCACTTGTGCATATAAAAAGCCAATCGTATATATAGTAACCCAGCTTGCTCCTGGGTTGGCCAGCCAGTCCAAACCACTCACACATTTCCAGAGACTGCTCAGCAGGCTGCTGCTGCTTGTCAGTACAAGTGGGCATAATGAGGGGTCATGCATTTAAATGCCCCATCAATTAAACTAACGTGAAACTGGACACCCTGCCTAGTCCTGCAGGGGAGACCATGTCCTTGATCCTTTGGTGACCTCCGTAAGTGGTTACAGATGCCCTGATATTTACCCAGGAAAGAGCCACAGCAAGGCTCTATGCTGAAGATCTCAGAGATGTACTGGATTAAGGACTCAACCCTGCAAAACATGCACAATGCTGGATTAGTCTTCTGCTTTTTCCTTTTATGCCCTGTGTTTTAATTTCCTCTCTTCTAATCGGATAGGAATTGAAAATGTCTTCCGTGCTCCTCCTCCTCTGCCCGGTGGCACCTAATAAGTTATTAGGATTCCAGGGAACAAATATTCTTTCCCCCTTAGAGCCCAACTGTATAACTAGCCAGCCAGGGTCACACTATACAACATAAAGGCCTTCCTTTCTGCATACGAATGGCGCTGCTTCAAAAAGCACTCCCAGCAACCCATCCTTGAGAGTTTGGCTCAGCAGTCAAACGAAAGAAAAAAAAAGAGGGGAAGGGGGGAATAATCCTTCTGGCCTAACAAATCAGTTCATCCTATTTCCAGGCTATGTTTTCTGTTCTTTTGAAAAATATTTTTAAATGTAATACAGCTAAATTTGTTCCTGGAATGTCACAGGAAAAAAAAAAGGGGGGGCGGGGGTGGGAAATGAATATTTTGTTTAAAAAAAAATCTCAGAGTAAAGCATTTTAACTATTTTAACTCCTCCAAATATTTTCTTCCCTTTTTATTAAAGTGAGCTATTTTCATTTCTTCCTGGAGAAACATATCACTACATTTGACCCAACGCATGACTTCTGGTTGCCCAGAAATTGCATCAGTCAAATAATACATTTTGCCTGAATAATTTCATGCCACCCTATTAGTGATGTCAGTAGTAGGATGTAAGCATGGAGTTTAGATGTTTTGCTGACCAGGCATACACTCCTGAATTAGGGCTTTGATCATTATTATTAATGTTTGCAACAAATTGTAGATCTCTCTGTGAGCAAGTTTCCCGTTGAGCTTATGCTGTCTTTTGTTTTATCATTAATCCTAAAATCTTACCTACAGGAAATGTTTCTTAAAATCAATGACCGTGTTGTCTTACCCATTTGAGCCAATAAGGATGCCATTGAGGATGACAGAAACATTGTACCATCCAGCTGCCAGACCAGGCAGCACTACATCCAAACCGTGGGCTGTTTTTCCTAGGATGTCTGCTGCAGCATCCCCAATCTGGACCTTGACATCCGAACCAGTGTAAGCTGCGAATGATGACAAACCAATCTGGAGCGTCTGGCCGCCTATGGAGGGAAGAATCAATGAAGCAATGAATCGAACTGGTTATTTACTCTGGATTCAGTGATCACAAACAGGATCCAGAAAGACAACGGAAGTTCGCCTGTGTGCAAAAAACAGTGGCAGGACACGTTTCTCCCCTAGGTTGGCTAGAAGAGCACTCTGAGATATGGAAGTGTCCATGTCCATGGCCCGTTCATCCTTCAGCCTCCCTAATATTCAAGTCCAGTCCTCTATTATCACAGGCAGCCCTGTCATATGATCCCTTTCATAAACTGAGCAATATACCATTAACAGTCTCCTGAGGCATACAAATCCCTAAGGGGATCTCCTATTTCCTTCTCCTATCTAGGAAGAACCATTCTTAAATAACTCTACACATATGGGAGCATTTATCCTGGAATAAAGGATTTATCTTAACCAACTTTGAAAGTGTAATAAGCTAAACTGGAAAAAAGTCACTGTTATTCCAGAATAAGATAGGCCAGACATGCAGTTAGTCAGGACAGTTATGGCTTTGGCACTTTTAATTCACATGAACGTTTCAGTGTGGACAAGCTCTAATTAGTTAAAGCAGTTGAGATCCTTTATTGGCCAAGCCTACTTGACTAATAAATGCAGCCCCCTCCCCAGCAAATACTAATCCCATTAACATGGCACGTGCTCCACCCCCCATTACCACAGCAGCTTGTCTTCAAGGTGGGACTTTCATAACTTTAGCTTGAAAGAAGAGCCACTCTATTCAATGAAGCAAATGTGCTCATTTCCTCAGGGCATGGCCACACAAACCTGTTCCCCCAGTGCAAGCTAAGGTGTGCGAACCTGCTGAGATGCAGCCGTTCCAGTTATTCCTTGTGTGCACGCACTTACCCCATGGTAAATGTGAGTTATCTTAGCCCTGTATGAAAATGGGGTTAGCTACCTTGGGATAAGAGTATGCACTAGACTGCAATGGGGGAGTAGCTGACAAACTATACGTTTCCCCCCCCACCAGCCCCTCTTGAGTAGAGCCGAAAGCAGGCACTTGCCAATTCTGCACACGGAAAGAGTCAAATAAAGTTTGAAACTTTGAAAGCCTGTGAAGTTGAATATATTAATAACGTGAACTCTTTGGACTCTTGGTCAATTGTCAGCTTAATCCTGGATGCCTGGAAGGCATCAGTGTAATTTATTTATTCTTTTTATTATATAGGAGGAAAATTATATTAAAAGCCGAAGCCGCCGAGTTCTGAATAGAAGATTGAACTCGGCACTGCTGCCATTCAGGGAGCTCTATAACATTAAGGAATTCCATGCACCTGTGCTGCCCAGGGCTAGAAAAATCTCCCCTTGGTGTTATCGTATCTGAATAATATTCAGATGATAAAGGACACGTCCCCTTATTTATGCATTCTGGAGTATTAGAAAATGACACGGCTATTGGGGAATGGAGCAGAAACTGTGTGCGCAGTCCCAGCTCTGCTTTTACATTGGCACAAAAGCAAGGGATGCTGGTGAGCCAAGGGGCAACTTTATTAAGGTGCATTGTACAGGCATGGTGGGGAGGCCAGAAGGCCAGACAGCAAAAGAAAGGAAAGGAAAGTAGCAAGTGTGCAGGATGGAGTAGAAAGACGAAGCCTTTTCCTCTTTCCCCAGACTCAAACAGTCTTCACCGCCGTCCCATCCCCCTGAAATGACCTTTTTTCCCATCAAGCAGGGGTCAGCAACCTTTCACAAACACAAAGAAAACATCTCCGTTCTCCGTATGCCAGGGGTGGCAGTTAATAGAGGTGGCCATTTGATGGCATATTCTGGGGTTGGCAGGCCAGAAAAAAATTCTTCACGGGCTAGGTCTGGCCCCCCAGGCAGCAGGTTGCTGACCCCTGCCATAGATCTGAAGCACGTGGATTCAGGTTTTGCTGTTAACCCACAGGCTACTAGCACCTCTCCTCCCATCTGCGCTCCTGGGATGAGACCCCCACACCACAACCTCCTCTAGGCCAGCCTCAGAGGGTGAGGTCCTGCTACCAGCTAGCCTTAGGGTTACTTCTGTCCAATTTATGTGGAAGGTGCTTGGTGAGGAGCAGTTGTATAAAAGATGAAGATTAAAAATTGGCTGGCTTGGGTGCTGAAGACTTCTGTTTATCTGCAGGACAAGAAGCTTATGGGCAACTGGAAGGCAAGCTTGGCCCTACTATTATAAGGTCCTGTGCTCTGAATTTGGGCCTTCTTGATGGACATTAGGGCAGTTCAGTCTTTGTGGGCCATTTCCATCTCTCCATGTCTAAAAGCACCAAAAAAGGGCCAATTTTAATGGCAGGCATATACCTTTGGGCAACCATCCATGTTAGGCCAAAGCCAAACACTCGTCTCTCTTGGCAATTAGTCTTGTTCACTACCCAGCGGGTCTAGCCTGAAACCCACATCCTAGGAATAAAAGGTCAATGTGCCATCACCTGTCTCTACACATTTTAGCCAGCCAGTCCCTTTGTATTGCCTTCCTTACTGATGGTACTATCCGATGATACACTCCTTAAACTCCAGGTCCATCTGCATTTTAAGGAGACCATAAGCCATTCACCTGCTATGCTGCTTCTGTTCCTGCTCAGTGCTACAATAGCTGGATTTAAAGAAGGGTCATAGATAAACACGTTGGCGAATACAGTAGACTGGCGCCCAGCAATCAGTGTCACGTGGACATTATAGTCGTTCACACCCTGAAATTAGAGTTGAAAATAAAACAACAATGCAAGTATGTGCCATTACAAATTACATTTGTTTTCATACATCTCCCAGCCCCACCATGGAAGAGTAAAAACATACATTGTCTGACCTGAGTTTTTCAATTAACGAACCATCTATATAACGAAGCAGAATGAAAGATGGGCTACAACAAGCTGCAAACATGTATGTTCATCACTGCCATGTTTTGAAGCGCATGCAAGAGAGACTGTGTTGCCTTTAACAGGGAAATATGAGCTCTAAAACTCTCACAGCTGATGAGCTACACAGGAGCCTTAAAGGGATAGGGGCACATGACCTAAAACCAATGGGGCACGTCTACACGTGCGCTACTGCACATCTACACATGCGCTAGACTAATTCACTGCATAGCAAAGTGTCACCATCTACACATGTGTGGCAATTAGGCCGGTCTAAACTAATTTACTGCACCGTTGGATAGTCAGACACAAGTACTATTTGACAATGCAGTAAATTCCTGAACTCAAATGCATATGTAGATGGTGATGAGGCTGGCTGGGGCACCGGGATGCTTCAGCATGGAGCTAGCTAGTGAGCAGCCCCCATGCTGAAGCACCCTCGTGCCCCAGCCAGCCACTCCACAGCATGTGGAGCCCAGCTTGAGCAGCCCTGGACTGGCTGGCTGACCCCCTAGCTCCTCTGCCACCCAGGGCTTCTCCCACTGGGCTCCATGTGTTGCACATGAATAAACTGCGGGGCTAATTGCTCTGGAGTTTTTTTGCTCCCAGATACACATTCAAACTGGGCTCCATGTGTTGCACATGAATAAACTGCAGGGCTAATTGCTCTGGAGATTTTTGCTCCCAGGTGCACATTCAAATAGCGTGCCCGGGGGCAAAAAACTCCAGAGCAACAAGCTCCAGATTTTATTCATGTGCATTAACTGCACATGTAGGCACACCCACAGTCTACAAGTTTAAAATTCAGTTGTGTACATGCCGTGTTTAGCTGCTATCTGGTGTCTCCAGCCATGGATTGGTGGCAGCAGGTGATCACATAGACACTGATAGTTTACACTGTGTCTCATAAACAAAGAAACCCATGGGTACGGGACATATAATACAAGACAGAGAGGACTGTATGGACCTTTCGAACCTTTCAGCAAACTGGTTTGCCCCCAGAAGGAAAAGCAGAAAATGTGGTTTCTCACCCGAGAAGGAACTTCACATTCAATTCTCATTGAGTTGCTGTTATTGGTGTTAACTGGGCACACCTGAGATCCAAACAATACCAGACTTATCCCATCGAAACCAGTACCTCTGAGGATCACTGGGCAGCCTCCTATAAAACCAATATTAGTTACATCAGCAATACAAAAAATGATCCTTTATTTATGGGACAGCACTATACAGCGTTCTCTGTACTGGTTAATGGGTCCGCATGGAGGACAAGAGATGTGGGTCCTATCCATAAACTCTGTGGTTGAATTGCTTTTGGCCAAGTTACTCCAACTCTTCGTGCTGCAGGCTTCTCTCCTGTTGAAACCTGTAGACTATATAACTTGCAGGGCCATCCATACAAAGAGACTTTTTTTGACAACAAACCTGTTTTAGCTGGCAAGCCCTGCCCTGTGATCTTGGCCTAGAAAAGGTCCCCAACTCAGGCATGAAACAAGCAAAGAAATAGAAGTACCAGGAATGAAAATGAACCTTCCCCGCAGGTGTCTCACAGTTCAAATATCTACCGTGCCCCCTGCTGTGAAAACAGCCTGTAGCATGTGTCCAGGAACTTCAGGTTAGAAAGGAGCCCAGGCAGGGTTTGAACTACAATAGGGTGCCAGGAAGAAAGTCACAGAAGATTGAAAGTACCGAGTGACCTCAACTTTCATTTAGGCCAGGGAGAGCTGAGGATCTTCAACACTGCTCAGGATCATGCCAAAAACAAGACTTGAAACTTGGCTTTTTTGTGATACTCAGTTCTATTGCAAATGCTCCGGTGGACGTATAATCCAACCAAGAGAGTCCTGAGCACAAAACAGAGTGACACCAGCAATGCTCTGGGTGAGAAAACGGGATGACTTTTGATATATTTTGCACCTGCCCTTTTCTCCAGCCATGATTTTTATCAGTCAAAATCAAAGGGCCTTGGCAGGTGGCAAGGAGTTTATTTTTTAATGATGCTGCCCCTCGCCCTCTGCTTTTTTGGGCACTGTTCCCTCTTTCCCAAGTTTCTTTTCATCACAACAAAACTTTGGAATCCACCGCCAAAAGGTATAAAGGACGTCAAGGACTTAGCACAATCCAATAAAATGTAGCTCTTTATATGAATTATGAGAATATCCATCATTACATGGGATGTAATAAATAACTCAGAATGAGCACATACCCTCGTGCTCCAGAACGTGACCCCTTAACAGGGTCAAGAAGAAATATTTTTCTAGGAAAAAGCCATTCCAGACCTTACAAAAGGTTTTTCATACCTTCTCTGAAGCATCTGTCACTGGCCATGTTTAAAGCAATCCAAACAAGTCAGTTCAGATAAATCACTAGAGCCACAGTATTTTTAAACCAGGAGAGACTCTGAGGTAAGATGAAATTATGCAGCTAATGTTAGGTGGTAAGGGACATTTTAGGCCACTTTGGTAATTTTATATCCAACTCCCTCCTGAATAACTCATCTTGCCTTTCCAAGCATGCTCAGAAAGTATGCTCGGTAGTGAACCTCCTCCCCGGGGAAGTCAAAGGCTGTGCAATTCCCTGCAACATCAGTCTCTGGATAAAAACCAATCAGAGATTATTAAACAGAGGAGATGGGGAGAGAAAGCTCTTCCTTTTTAGCCCAGTGGTTTAGTAACAGCACTTACCCAGGGAGTGCGTGAACCAGTTTCTTGGCTCCCTCAACCAGAGGGGTTTGAACCTACATCTCCCCTTCCCCAGCAAAGTGTCCAAACCATTACACGATTGGGCTAAGCAGGGAGGGGCTCCTTCTGCCACCACAACCATTTTGGGGACAGGAGTCAGACATGAAGGAAATGAAGTAACAGGATCTAAAATCTACATAAGTAGCCCATAGTGCCACTTGCATGGCTGACCTTTAGCCAAGCGCTACTAGCTCAGCTAATGGGAGAGCTGGATTTAGGCCTCAATGCTTAAAAAGTGACATATTATTCACTCCTAGTAAGGCAATTCCTCTATTCTGCACCTTGATGAGGAAGAAATGTTATATATATAGCTATAGATATATATAGATATATGGTAGGGTGACAATATTTGGATTTTCGGCGAGCATTGAATCTGCAGCTAAATAAAGGCATGACCTGTGGCCTAGCAAAAGCTGCTGACCACAAGGCAGAATGATATCTAAGCCAGCCATTTGCTTATGCTAAGTAACTATCTTAACTGTGTTAACCATTTTCTGAGGAAAAAGCAGCCGGTAAGTCTGTGCGCTGTGAACCAGCTACAGTAAGGAACAAGATAAGATACAGGGGCCCAAAAAAGGTAGAAGATGGTACAACATGAGACAGAAAAACAGCCTGGAATGTGAAAAACAACATGTAATTGGTAACAGAATCTGAGATGAACATATGCAAAAAGGTGAATGGTGATTGGTGAAGAAGCCTCCAGAAACTTCCAGATTTTGTCGAAGTCCGCTCATTGACCGAAGAGCAGGAGTCAAGGTCTTAGACATGCACTCATGGCAAAAAGACATGTAAATGAGTAAAACGCGTAGGCAATTCCATGCTAATGAAGCAAACAGTAAACAGAGGCAGACCCTGAGATAGGAGGAGAAATGGGTGGAATAGAAGGAGGGATGGAGGTGGAGCGAATGTTAATGAGTATAAACCAAAGTGTATAAATGTGGGAAGAAACTATTGTTCAGTGCTGCTCCCTGTGTTCATAGACAGGGTGTCTGTGAGGGAGCTCGCCTGAAGCTGTCTCCATTCTGAATAAAGCTGTTGCGAGCAATGTGTGCTGGTGTTTGCTCCCTGCCTGCTCTGGCTAATGAGTACCAGGATCCACGGGTGATTGAGCCGTCGTCTCCCCAGTCACTGGGTGCCATATGGAGTTGGGGTCTAACTAGATAGATAGATAGATAGATCTCCCTTTGGAACCCCATTACAGTTGATGCTACATTGACACGAGACATCACTACAGAGCAACACGAGATACTCCCCAGCTTCACCTTTCCAAAAGGTCAAGTTTTCTGAGCCGGCAACAATGGGAAGACATTTTTACACTGAATTTTGTGGTAGCTCTTTTATCAACATCCCCAGTGAAATGTAACCTGATTGTGTGTATTTTGTAAAGATGAACATCAGAGCACTTTCATATCTATACCCATATGAAATGAAATAATCTATGAGTGCCTTCTGTGAGAATTGAAGAGAGGTATTTTAAATGGAAGAAATTAAAACCACAGATGGAAGCTGTAATTCTTTCCAATTATAAATGTTCAAAGCATATGTAAAGTAGGATAATAATATACTTGCTTGCTTTTTAATGAAAGAAAGATCACTGTAATTGAGATAGGAGCTGGGTTGTTGGAAGAAAATCAAGGTCAAAGAATTGTACCTGCTTTTTTAAATGATCTACAGCAGTAGTTGCTAACCTTCCCCTTATCATGACCCCTGTTAAAAGTTTCAGGACTTCCATCCCACCTAGCCATAAAAAGGGAGGGTGGTTGTGATCCCCTGGAACGTACTTGTAACTCAGGTTAAGAATCCACAATTCATAGGAAGAGATCCTGCAACTCCACCAGATGGAGGACATGGACAACCTCTTGAAAAACAGGGCCTCCTAGATCCCTTCCTGATTTATGACCATGTAAACCACCTCCTTCCCCATAGGAGGCATCACCAACCACTTCCTCTCTCACTAGCACTAGAATTCCTTGGGGTGACTCCAGACACCCTTGCGATGAGGGAGATGATGCTTTTTTAGCTGAAAATATCCTCCCGTCACCCCCCCAAAAATGAACTGCACTCCATAAGGCAACATACCTAGCCAGTCCTCTCTTAAACGGATAGGTCCCAGTAAAATCCCTGTGCACTGCTGCTAAAGATCACACCCCATCATGTTAAACATATTGTTTTGAATTCAGACCTACCAATCTCTGAAGCTCTCGATGGTTCAACAGCTACGAGCTTTGGCTCAATTCTCAGACAGATGTCCCCTCCCGTGCTAGCATTGAGTGCAAAGCCATAGGGTCTCACCAGTAACATAACCTGATACAGTCCTATTGGTAGCATCTTCATCTGGCAAACTAAATCAGTTTGGTTTGAAGCCGTGACATTGCAGGTTGTGTCGTTCACCAATATCCTCAGTGCCTGATGGTCCTCAGTGAAGCCTGATCCCCTGATAAAAACCTTGGTGTGGAGTCTGTCATCTGAAAGATGAACCCAACCAAACTGAAAATGTGCTTCTAAGTAACAATACCCAAGTCTGCCTACAAAGAACAGCAGTGAAGCTGCTTTTGCCCATCTTTCTATACCCAAGCATTCACAACATACAAACCACTATAATTATCTGAGCACCCAACGTTACCACAACAGAATAAAAAGCATCCCATTATTTTATTGCAGTCCCCTATCTGTGTATATCAACTTTATCTCTTGTCTTATACATTCATTGTGGGTTTGTTGAGACTGTGGCTGGAGTTTTGTTCCATTTGTACAGCGACTCACCCTGAATGTCCCATAATGCAACATGGAATTCCTTTTGACCAAGCTATGTGCCATGCATTATAACAGACTCATGATCCAAAGGAAAACTAGGGATATTGCTCCCACACTACAACTCCCATGAAGCGATATGCCCTCCTTGGAGTCCATTTTATTAAATGAATTGAAATATTTTGATTTGCGGGATTTCCACTGGTTCTTTTACTCACACATTTCTAAACAGAAAACTGGACACAATTCCAAATATTTTTTGTTTGTTTGGAATTTACTATTTCACTGACCAAAAATCTGAAGTTTCTCAAATTTGGGGTGGAGCTTATGTTACAAGGCCTGCTTCTCCATCACAGCATGCATTGTACTGTTGCATACAAATAACAGTCTGAATGGCCGCACTTCAAGCAATCATTACAAAAGTACAGACAAGTTACACGAGTTGAAAAGCACTGGAGGATCATACGTTGGGCATATGGAAACAAGTGGACCAAAACAATAAACTTCAGGCCCAAATCCAGGTGTGAAAATCCTAAAGTTCATGTTTTTATTCTTCAGATCTATAGCTTGATTGCAGCTCACTGCCGAATTCAGATTCACAGTTGGATTTGACCCCTCAGCTTCCAAAGCTCTAGATCAAGGGTGGGCAATTATTTTGGGTGGAGGGCCTCTTACTGAGTTTTGGCAAGCCATCAAGGGCTGCATGACAGGCAGCCAGGAGCAGATAAATATTAAGTTTCCAATTTTTTTAAGGGCCCCACGGGCTGGATAGAACAGCTCGGTGGGTCACATCTGGCCCACGGGCCACATTCTGCCCACCCCTGCTCTAGGGTGTCCAGATGCAAGGCAGTTGTTTTGTGCTCTGTAACAGGCCCCTTCCCCATTACTGGGAGGGAGCCCAGGGTCTGCTGGCCACCCCAGCCCCTTAAACAGGTTTAATGGCAACAAGGGGCCTCCTGCCACAGGCACATGCAGCGATTGGCAGGCCTGGGGCAGAAGTAAAGGGTCAAGTGACTCAGGGAGAGGCTCATAATCCCTGGGCTTGGCCCAGAAAGGGGCAGTCTAGCCATAGGATCTATAGGAGGCAGAGATCCAGGGAGCAGCTAGTGTGGATTGCCTGGGGAGAAAGGACTCTGTGCCGCAAAGGGCAGAAGAAACCCTGAATCACAAGCAACAAGAGCTAGTGCCTCAAACATTTGCACTGGTGCTACTGTGGGGTGAGATGAACCCCAACAGAGGAGCTTGTGTTTTGTGAGCTTTATGTTTTGGAAGTGAACGCTCGTGCTTTTGATTTGTGTTTAAACAGGATAAGCGAATATGGTTATAAGGGGAGGATTAGAGGCCACCGGGTGCTGCAGGGGCACCCAGCACAGAGCACCCCAGGGCCTGAAGCACAGTGGGCTGTGTTGAGCAGAAACCCAAATGTTTCGGAGGAAGGACCGCTTTCTGCCAGAGGACTGAATACCTGGCAGCAAAGACTGATAGGGTGCAAGCCCGGAGCCCATGAGGGGCATGGCCAGGAAGCCAAGAGCCCCATAGCCCAAGGGACAAGCTGAGGTCCACAAGCCTGGGGATCTGACACAGTGGGCCCTGGGAAGAATGAGCATGTGTCAGGTTAACATGTGTCAGGTTAACATGTGTCAAGGCCAAGGGAGGCTTCAGCCCCAACAACCGACTACCCCAAAACCCACTCCTGCCTCCTAGGGCAGCTTTATGAATTTTAACATCCAAGGGTGACAGGTGAGATAATGGTGTGGGCAAATCCTGGGAGGCCAGAGGTGAGTAATGAGGTAGGACCAAGGTGGTGAGCCAGGCAGGAGACCTCATTACTGCAGTGGAAGGCATGTTACAGGCCCATTTCTAGCATCAAGTGGACAAGCAATTTTTACAGTCATTACATTCGAGCAGAAATACTGTTACCTAGTAAATATTCCACATTGCTGACTACAGGGGTTGCCTCCTGGCAATACCGAAAGGAACAGGAACCAGAGCAGTTGGCTAGGACCTCATTCACCACCACCACAACCTGAAGAAATGGAGAAAATCTTTTACTCCAAACATAAGAGGACCAAGGTTGTTAACAGTTCTGCAAAACACTGACAACTGAACCCAGCATCATGCCAAACTCACCTAGCTTAAGGCTTCACTGTGACCTTACTGTGAAAATTTACACCTGGCTTCAGGTTTTGCTACTCAGGTTCACTGCAAAGTTTGCTAAGGCTCATTTTAAGAAACCCAGAACCCAGTTTTGGGGGTCTAAATTGATTACTTCTCTAGATGTTAGTTGGATCCTTTCTTACTTCTCATAACTCCAGCCAGGCCCCTAGTTGTCCTAACTCTTCCTCCCAGTTGATAGCCTGATGCTCTCTTTATCCTACATTCAACCTCCAGACCATTTGACATGCAGTTTTACTGTGCTGCTTCCACAGTAAAAGTACAAAGTGGCACTCAATATTTATAACAAATCCCCAATCAGATCTGATTAGCATAGTAGTCCGGAGATATTTTATTTTTAGCTGCTCCAGCTGCAGAGCTCTACTTGGGATTTGAAAGCCAAGCCGTGTTCTGGGCAAACAATACCTTATCCCTCAGGATAAAGGTTCGGCAGTCTGAACAGGTAATGCACAGAGCACCAAATGATCCCACCTCTGTCTCACATAGTCCTACTGAACTGAAAAAAGGAGTATGAGAAGCAGATTGTGACAAAGAAACACAGAACTGGACCTGGAAAGTGTGATTTCTCCATAGTCGTACCCAAAATTAGATTGAGATATACTTTCATGTGCTATTGGTATCAAACCAAGATAATTCTTCAGATGAGAAGCAAGCCCAAGTACAGAAATTATTCACATTTATATGTGCATTCAAGCAGTCTATCCATCCTGTAGTATGTCTATACCGTTCACTACAGTGCAGCATAGAGATACCCAGACTAACTCGGGACCCAGAGGCAGACCAGCTGTGACCGTATGGAGCTCAGCACAGACTAATTTTACTCTGCCAAAGCAGAGAATAAATTAAGATGCCCCAAGTAGCATGCCGTAAGAAACATAAGAATATAAGAACCACCATTTACTGGGTCGGACTATAGGTTCATCTTGATGAGTATCCTGTGTCTCTGTGTCTCGTGATGAGTATCCTGCTGTTATTGCACCTCCTCTAAGTGGCTGCCTGGGGTTGGTGCCCTGGTTGCCCACCATTCACTATGTTACCATGCTTAAGTAATAGCCCTACCAATGCCATTTATTATACCAGGACTCCCGAAGCTGGAAGGTATCACTGCAGAATCCAGTAAGAGTTCACTTGGGGATATAAAGCCAGAAACAACAATAGTCCTAAACCCCTGCCTTAAGAAGAGGGCTATCTCCCCTGCCCCTGAAGACTTAACATCTTGCTCTGCCATGAGTCTCATTGAGTGAAATGGAACAAAATCTTGCTTAATAAGTGCAGCATGGCAGGATCTGGCTGTTAAACAGAAAGCAACCATTGGCCAAATTTGTAAAGATACTAATGAGCTTAATGCTCTTTGAGCTTAATAGAAGCCAAGCACCCAAATTCCTTTAAAACTCTTGCCGCATGCATCTACAGGAAGCATGGTCAACCACTGACTCACCTGCGTAGAGTTATTGCAGGTGGCTAGCATGTCACCGAATATGGGTCCAATAAACACACCGCCATCGTAAACCACCCGAGCAGCAACAGTGGGATTCAGTCCAGTGAGGTTTTCAGCAGAGACCTGGTCAAGAGTGAAGAATTTTATTTTACAAGCTGCCGATTGATTCGGTGACCAATTCAAATCCACACCATTCATGTTCAGAGTTATGCGATGCAATACTGGAAGCATTTTCTCTAGCTACTCTAAGACCCCCATTGTCATAGCACTGACAGCTTTGCTTTCTGTAGCGTATGTATCATCACAACACCTCTACAATACTACTGCCATTTGCAGGCAGAGAATTAGGACCAAACTGTGAAATAGTTTGGTGCCTAAGTCTCATTGAAATTAGGTGCCTAAATACTTAATAAATACTTTAAAAGACTCATTTTATGCCTTAAAATAGGGAAATTAACTTGGATTTTTCAAACTCCCAGGCCAGTGCCTTAAGCACAAACTGTCCTGCTTCTCCAGCTAGTTTTACATGTGCAAAAAAAAATGCATATAAAAAACCAAAGGGACTTCTGGTCTATCTCAAACAGGGGCTGAGACTTCAGAGACTGATATAAAAGCTTGATAATGCAACTAAGTCTCTGGACACTGGACACACTAGGCACATCTACACAAGCTGCTTAATGCACGGTAGACTAATTTTACTGCACATTATCGAGTCATGGCAAAAGCTGTGCACGGAAAAAGACCATGTGCGTTTGCTATTGTGCAGTCGCACTGGCTACTGTGCAGTTATATAGCACTTCATATTAGAGGTACTAAACTTACTGTAAAGGTGCATTAATGCACATGTAGATGTGCCCATTAAGAGTGAAATCATGCCAGCTACAATTTAGGCTCCTGGCAGACATCACCTATGTAAATGAGCCCGTTGTTGCGGGTCTTGGAAGGGTGTCTGACAAGCAAGAATGAAAAGCTTGGTCTGAGAGCCATGGAAGAGTCAGGTAACAAACTCTTGGAGATCATCTATAGCAAGTGTCAAACTCACTAGGGTCCCCAGACAAAGTCCAGGCAGCAAGGAGCATCGCGGGGCAGATGTGGACCTGGCAATGGAGGGGTGACAAGCGGCAGTGGCAACATAGGTGTTAATGCAGGCATTGCTTGCCCCACTCTCACTTCCCCTGCCCCCAAATTCCCAGGTCCTCTATGAGCCCTGTGGGCCAAATGAAACAGCTCCGCAGGCCATCTTCAACACCCCTGCCATATAGCAAGTGCAGTCTCCGTATGGGGAATGCGGCAGACTAGGGAAGGGACTGGCAGCACAGCAGCAGATCAGGCAGTGAGCTGAAAGCAAGGCAAGGAGCAGAAAGCAGAACAGCAGATCAGGGAAAAGGGATTGGAGTGGCACATTGGGGAGAGTGTGGGGCTCATTTGTGGCATGCAAGCCAAAAAAAGTAGCCTCTACTGCTCAACGGGACAGATCCTAAGGGGGGGAAATTGACTGTGCATCTTGCACGAAAAACTATTCCATGATACTGCTGGTAGCCGCTGTATTTTAATGTGATTGTAATCCACTTAGCCTTGATCCATGGGAGACGGGGGCTTTTTATGCAGTACTGTAGCATGGAGGGGGAGTTGCTTCCTGACCTCTGGCTTATACCCTGAAGCATGAGGGTGGAGGGGTGTTTTTATTGCACCTACAGTAACAGTTCTTAGCCAGCCAGGCCATATCAGAACTCACTAAGTCATTGCTCCCAACGACAGTCCTTGTCAGACATTTTGCCTAAAACTCACTAGACATCCACATGAAAAAGCTTTCTTCCATACCAATCCTGCCAATACATCTGTGCCAACTGGCACACTCCAAGTTGCAGCAAAGCCTGAAATCAAGAGATCTGCATACACTGATAACATTGGGCAAGTCCCCCGTCTTCGCTTTCCAGGTCAGCGTCCAGATGGCTTCATAACACGTGCTCGAGTCCTTGGTCACTGTGAAATCACTGGCATTGAAGTAGCGTGCTGTGGAGTTATCGGTGCTGCTTTGCAGGAGCTTGTGAAGATGATGGGAAGAGATGTGAACGGGGACACCTGCGAAGGGCAGTGCAAAACAACAGGTATCAACCTCTCTGCAGTCCCAAGCCTGCTTGATCCTAATAAGGGAAAGGGCCTGGCTTCTGTAGTAATAGATGCATTAGAAATACATGCAGAAGTCCAAATGTTGTATTACAGGGTGCTTGCCTGTGAAAAACCCCACTTTAAGGAAGTGGTTGAAAGCCCACCGAAATCAATGGAGTTAAACTTCAAAAGGCTTTGGAGCAGTCTCTAAATCATCATGTCAAAATGTTCTTTCCTCTTCTCTTTCCTCCCACAGTTTTTTGAAGACATTAAAGATCAAGAATTATTGTCTACCGCCAAAGGAACTAGCTTGCCGGCCTCACCTTTGTAGGAAGGTTTCCCAAGGAAGACCTCATCTGCCCCTACCTTGGCTTGCCAGGTAAAGGTCATTTCAACCCTCTTTGTACCTGATATCACAGTATTAGGCAGCAGGATCTGGAAGGTCCCTCCAATAGGTGGGGATGCAGTTTGCAGTCTCTGAACCCTCAGGCTGATGTTTGCATTTTCCAGGGAAGCAAAGAGAGAATCATCTTCTTCAGACCCCTGGGAGGGCAAGGTTCCCCTGCAAGAAAGAGTTTGACACACAGAGATATCAATATCCAGGAGGTCCTACGTACGTACCCTCTGCATCACACCACCCAGTGTGAACACAGCAGCCGTGAGCAATTCTAACTGGGTTTCAGCTGACGTTAGTCCCTTGACCCGCCAAACTTTTCAGAAGTAGCTATGGAAAAGTGAGCATTGAATCAGGAGTGCTATGCTCACAAGATCTGGCTGTGCACTGCTGTGTCTGGCCCTGTTCGAGACTGTCGAACTGAACTCCAGCTCAAATCCAGCTCCAACGTGCTTCCCGTGCAGTGGGACAATGTCAGTGCAGAAGGGTCTGAGGCCCAGGCCTTGCCTCACTGGGGCATAAAGCTCACAAACACCTTTTGCATAGTTGGCCTCATTTTAGAGACGGGGATACTGAGGCCCACGGAGAGGAAGAGACCTGTCCAGAGCCACACAGAAGGCCTATGGATGAGCTAGGACCAGAACCCACCCAGGTTTCCCACATCTGGCTCACTGTAAGTAGTTATCAACGGCCCATTACCGGACTGTTTAAGGGTCCGACAGATGTTAGTATGCTTATCCTCAGGTCAACCCTGTGAGGTAGGGAAGTGCTATTATCTTCATTTTCTGGAAGGGGAATGGAGTTACAAAGAGACTGCCTGACGTTAAAGTCTTAACCATCTATCTGGTAATGAAGGACCTGAAATGTGGGTCCTTCGAGTCCCCAGTTGACTCCTTAAGCATGGGACAAGCTCTCCGTCCTGAATGTTACCTTACAAAAAAAAAAGTCGTCATCCTGCTCAGTTCGCATGAGACTTTTTAGGTACTTGGTTAATGTTTTTAAAGCTCTTTCAAGCCCTCAGATAAGAGGTCCTATGCATTAGAAGTGCAAAGCAGTATTAGAAAACAGTAATAGAAATAGAAATCATTCCTATATAATTTGAGAAGCATCACTCCCTGCACTCCACACAACGCTGTGTGCCATGGTGCAGGCACCCCCGGGAATTTATGCAGACGGTGTCCTTTGAAGTGTTTGAGGATACAGGTGGGGGAATTTGCTGCCTGGACAGACATGGATATTCCTTGCTTATGCTTCCATGAGGCCTGCTTCAACTATGGTGGAAAATAAGGCAGGTGACGTCAAAGAACAACTTCACTTTTTGTGTCAGATACATTCCTGCAATGTTTCCTGACTGATGAGAATATGCTGTAATTATGTGTTATTCTTATGTCTACAGCAATGGAAAGTCAAGACCATGTGTGCCAGACCCTGGACAAACAGAGAACTAATAGGGCATCCCTTCACCAAAAAATAAGTGCAGGTTTTCGATGGCAAAGGCACGGATAAGAAAGTTCAAAGCAGTATTTATAGATGCAACTTCAACAAATGTGCTCAAAATCTCAGTACATCTGTATTACGCCCTGAAGCAATTATCTGCATTGCTTGCAATACAGAACGTTCCTCTTGGTATTTTTTAAGTTATAAACCTATTTCTACTTATGTGAGTGGGGGGGGAAGTGTCCATTGAAACAGTGTGCAATAGTGTCACCCTATGGCGACTGATACGAACAACACCTAGGTGATTCAGTGTTCCAGGTTTCTAATTCCTAAAACTATGAATCACAATCAGAGAAAAGTAGGGCTAGGAAGCCCCTCAGGAGGTCATCTAGTCCAACCCCAGCTCAAGGCAGCTTCATCCCAAACTAACCCATCCTATACAACCCCCCACAACCTATGCTGATCTGACCGTGGAGTTAAATCCCTTTCTCATCCCAAATGCGACTTGTAGAGGCAGATAATATCATTGGTCCATCTAATCTGATCTGCATATTACAGGATATTTAATTTTACCAGTTTTCCTTGCACAAATCCTAAAGTTTGACTGAAACAGAGCGTGTGCGTCAACAAAAGCGGATCTTCCAGCAAGACATTGATCTTCCCCACTCCTTGATCTTAATACACTGTAAAATGGAAAATCCCCAACTTCCCTGAAAAGTTTGTTTCTGTGATTAATCACCCATATTGTCAAAAAGCTGTGCCTCATTTCTCATTTTATTTAACCTGGCTTTAGCTTCAGTCATTGGTTCTAGCTACACTTTCTTCGGTAGATAAGCAAGCCCTCCAGTACCGAGCATTTTTCCCTTTTTCGCAAAATACTTACAGGCAGTCCTCGGACGTATGACACAATTGCCTGAAAACCACTTCTTAAGTCGAAACGTTGTAACTCGGAACTGATTTTCCCATAGGAAACAGCGTTATAAATGGGGGATCGGTTTTTGGACCAAGGCCCGATACACTATTTTCACCAAAAATAGCCCAGAATTTTGTACTCAATCAATTATAGATGAGTAATATAGCAACATTAATGTATTTATATTGTAAATAGCAATCATATTGATTTGAAAGGACTTTTTTGAGGTGACTCGGTTGGACTTTTTGAAGGGTTCTGGGCTGGCGTCCTGGTTTTTCTGGAGTCTCATCGTCCTTCTTAAAGGAAGTGTCCAAGGCCGTTTGGACAGATGTTCTCCAGGGAGATGGGTGACGCAGCAAACTTGTTCGCCGGCGTGGCATGGCATTGGATCAAGCGTTGTAAAATAGAAACTGGCGTCAGAAAGTCGAAACAGGGTGTCCATTTATAAACATCGTAAGTGCAAAACGTTGTAACTTGAAACGTTGTAAGTCAAGGACTGCCTGTTATTCAGAGTAATCAAGTTGCAGCTCAATCTTCTTTTAGATGAGATCAGCACCGCGAGTTGTAAGCCTCTCATTGTAAGGTGTTCTCTCCAGCAATTCTGCAATTCTGCTCTTTCTAACTATTCACCGTCCTTTTAAAGATGTCTACTTCAAAACTATGAGCAATGCTCCAACATGAATCTCAGCAACACTATACATAGAAGTAAAATTATTCACACATTCCTACTCAGTACTCTCCTACTTGGTACAGGAGAGAAAAGAAAAAACTGCTTCAAGTCTGAATTTGTCTACTCCACTTTGTCCCTGCCATGCATGGCCTGGGTTTTGTTGTGGAACTTGGCTTTCTATTAAAAACTCCCGGTGAGAGCAAATGCAGTCACAGGAGTCTATTTGCAAGTTAAACCCCTCAGTGCTGTGCTAATCTATGATGCTGGGAAGCTTGGCTGATTTTGTAGCATAACTTTGTCCAAATGATCAATGCATCACCCTACCGCCTTGGACTTTTCATAACTGCAGCAGAAATCCTTGACACTGAACAGATTCTCTCGTGGCAAACCCCTTTCAGTTGTGGAGAAGATAAAACCTGCCCATTTCTAGCCTTGTTGGCTAGGATGGCAGCATTTTTCAGCTGCAAAGGTCTGGGTTTTCAAAGCTATCGAGAGCTCACAGATGCAATAGGCTTCTGTAGGACTTGCGAGTACTCAGCACTTCAGAAAATCAGGTTCGAATAACCTTACGCCTGGGACTTTTGTCGCTCCCAGAAAAAGAGCCTGGGCACTTTTACAACAGCATCTCTCCAGCTGTGTATTTTGGCATCCAACAAGAACTCACCCTCAAGACCCATTTCAAATGTCTCAAGACCCATTTCAAATGTCTTGCCACTGCCTGAGGAAGGAAGGACAGTGCTGCTCAGGATACCTGTTTGGCATTTAGGGGCCTCTGCTCAATCCCCTTTTCGATGCCATGGACTTCTTGTGGGACTTTAGACAAGCCACTTATTTGGGCTTAGAAGATCCAAAAAGGGGATTGGGTGCCTGAAGCAGGACTTCGGTGGGACTGCAATCCCTATGTTCCCAGCTCAGCTGCTGCATAAACTCCCTTGGGGCTTCTCTTTTGACTTTAAAACTCTCTGGACTCTGCATTCTGCTCCCCGCCATGCCCAGAACTGCCCCATCTGTGCAGCTTGGTACTTATCTCCTGCCCTAAGCCTTGTCGAGGCCCAAAAAGTAGGACATTCCTCCATCCAAATCCCCTCAAGGGGCTGGATCTGATAGGTGTGCTCCCGTCAGGCCTCCAGCAGGCCAACAAGGCTGTCTAGCACAATGGAGTTGTGGTGGCTTTCTTTAAAAAAGACAGAGAAGGAAGAGGAGAAAGTTATCCCTGGTGTACAACAGTTTAGTGGTTAGAGCAATCCCCTAGAAAGTGGGGTTCAATTCTTGCCTCAGCTTGAGGGTGCTTCTCCCCACCTCCTGAGTTCAGGCCACTGCTGCTAAAATACCACCGAAGCTTCCCAGCACCGAAATACCCATTTTGCAGGCTGGATAGAATAGTTCTACTGGCTCAATCCACTGTGGGCACATCTACACGTTCATTAATGCGGCTTAGATACTGTCAGGTATCCAGGTTGTAGCCACATTGGTCTAGAGGAAAGAGCAATCGGGACTCATAGTAGAGATGATATCTTGCATTAAGCCAACAAGATTTTTGCAAAAAAAATGTCTTTCATTGCAAGCTTTTGGACATAGACACCCTTCATCAGGCACTGGAGAAAAGAATGTAAAAGTTTTCCTGGGTAGAAATGAAAGTTCATATTTCATAGGATTTCATAGAGGAGTCAATAGATGGAAAACTCCTCTGGGCAGGCAGTTCAAGGGTGTTTGTGTCCGAAAGCTTGCAATTAAAGACATTTTTTTTTTTTGCAAAAATCTTGTTGGTCTAATAAAAGATATCATCTCTACTA